ATCGGGCAAAGCTAAAACAATTATGATATAAAATAATTCAAAAGTAACTCGGTGTATGAAAAGTGGTTCAATTATTAGTTGTAAAATTTTTAAAATTATATTGATCAAAATTTAACAATAATCGTGATCAAAGATCCAAATTTTAGCTAAATGTCTCCTAGCTAGTTGATCAATTTTATTGTATTTTTCGTTGGAAATCCGAATTTCAATGGAAATTTAATGGGAAAAAGTTGTCGATTTTCATATTAATATTCTGATCGAAGTTTAGATCTACAAACTAAATCCTGAAATGGCCAATTTTGAAATAATCCACACAAAAAAATTGTCTGTTGAACTGGCAAAATTGAACTTAAAGAACTACAAAACTTTTATTGATTAACTGAATCGGATGAGAAGTGATAGCTCTGTTGGTAGAACTCTTCACTTGGGACTAATATATCTCAAGTTTCAGTCATACAGGATAAGTGGAAAACAGGGCCGTCTCAACAATTTCGAGGGCCCTTGGGCAAGCAAGACACTAAGGGACCGACAATCTAATTAAAAATTGAATATAACAATTGGAGTATATAGTACTATTTATAAGAGATAATTTGCAATATATATTTAGCCAATAAAAAAAGCAGTACATTTAAGAAGGTAAAACAATAGTAAAATTTTGGATACTTCAAATAAAGTTATGCTTCAGTTCTTTTTAAAAATCTGCCTTCGAGCATTTCTTGATGCAAAAGCTTCAAGAACAACATCAAGATCAATTTGATTCTGTTGATGTTATTGGGCTTAGAGGTTAAATTAATTATTACTTGAATTGGCCAATACATCTACTATACATGTATATATAGTATACTCATGGGCCCCCTAGCCTCATGGGCCCTTGGGCGTCGCACCAGCTGCCACCCCCTTAAGACGGGCCTGGTGGAAAACTGTTGTTGATCCTCTCTTTTTTTTTTTAAAAAAAAAAAAAAAAAACTCAATCTCAATATTACTACTTATAAGTAGATATAGATATTGGGCTAGATTGATAACTCGTCAGGTCAGAATAGTTGATCAGCCAAACGGAACACATTTACTTGGGATACATACCATAAACAAAACCCAGCCTCTAGATTACACGGGATGGTTTCAATTTCAAGCATAAAATCAATGTTGATCCGGCGGGTCCAAACATAATTCAAAATCAGTCAGATTTGACGCCGGAAATTTTAAATTTCGAACTTCATAATTGAAAATTTTTATTTGGTTTTGGACCCAATTTCTTTGAATCAGAAAGTTGGTGTCGATTACAAATGTGATCTGATCAGTCGTTGAGTCTGTCTATAGTTGTTGCAAGATCAATGATATAGATCCACTCAACTTATTAAGGTCCTGATTGGTTAACTGTGTCTCGACTAAAAACTTGCGAGTCCAAAACAGAATCGAATCAGAACCTTACACCAAAATTGGTTTCAAATCGATGATCTATACATATCCTTAACCAGTCGGGTTCGTTCATGCCTACTTTTAAATTATAATACAACTCATAACTTACTACTATACCATTTTTATTTTTTTTTTTTATGGATTAAAAAATTAGAATGAAGCCAAGTACATTAAAGCCTATAAAGGTGCACTGATTAATCCAAGAGGCATGTGCATCATAAAATTTGATCCTAATTAGTGGTGCCAACATTGAGTAAAGCCTAGCTACATCAATTAATTAATCTAAAACTCTCTCTCTCTCTAATTGCTCACACACAGATACGCTATCTTCCTTACCGGTGAGGGTTCTTCCTAAGAGACAGAGGAGAGAGAAAGCGGGCCCCACCCCCCACCGCCCATGCGCGGCTGCCATGCGCACGCTGTCAAATTCACCAACTTGTTCCCTCCCTCTCTCTCTCTCTCCACCGATCCATTCTCTCTCTCTCTTACCCTTCTATTGACCTAACCCTAATCCCTACAAAAACGCCAAAAAATCCTCAAAATAAATTACTTAATTATTTAACAAGAAAACTCTCTCTCTCTCTCTCTCTCTCTCACTTTCTCTCTCTCTTACTTTCTCTTACAGGAGACCAACGGAGACAAAGCCTACAGAATTCACATGAAGACACAACTCAAATCTTGCTTGAAACCCTAATCACATCTCCCTGAAAAAAA